ACTCTGACGTGCACAACACATTGAGTGCACGCAGTTCTGTTTTTATGAATGGTGAGGACAGAGGATTTTAGATCAATGAACAAAGCTCATTGAGAGCTTGTAGAAAGTCTGCAGGCTGCTGTATTCGAGTGGGTGAAACCTCTTTCATATCTCACTGAAGCAGATAAATCTCCCCTGCATTTTTCCAGGGTTTCAAACTTTGTTTAAAATACTTTCACTGCTGATTCCATCGTGCCAAACGCTGCAGAGTCAGACTGACTCAGACATTCAGCAGAGAGGAGATTACCAGCTCTCTCGTGGCAGCAAAATGCTTGGCTGGATTAGTACATCACATGAAGCCCAAGTTCAAAGCCCAGCAGCGTTAGGATTAGGACAGGTGGAAACGCCTTTCCAGCACAGCATGCTGAGTGTATGTAAAATAGGTTCTCAACAACCCATGAGGCATAAACAATCTTTGGGCAAGGTTTACATTCATCAGACATGGCATATATAACTTCATTAAGGATTTTTTTAAGCTGTAGCAGAGTTTGAGAGTTTAAGAGGATGAGGATCACTCCCTACTCCAGGTTGTGTAAGTGGATCTGGCACACAGTTTGATGACTGGACGAAAGTCAGCGGCAGTCAATCTATCAAGCACACTGGACAACCAGTCACTGAGTGGAATACAGAAGCGGAGAGGATGTTCTTTCTATTTGTGTACTGAGACACGTCAGTAAAAGTGAAGCAGTATTTTATTAAGATCCAAATTCTGTTAATTAATATTATGCATATATATAATAAATGGATAGAGTAAAAAGTCCAGTACATAATAATTTATTTTAAAGCTGAATCTGCAAGCATAAAGAAATAACAAGATTTTTGTGTTAATTAGTGAAATTTAAAGTTTCAAACATATTTTTCTAATCAAGCTCTCAGAAACAAAAGGTTGTGCAATGATTGTATTTCACAAAATTTCTGTTCTTTTTTGTTTTTTTGTTAAGCCAAAGCTGATGTGTGATAAAATGTGGCAGAGCCAAAAACTGCAATTCATCTAATGGCCACTTGACGTTGGTTTCAAAAGTGAGTCGGGGTCCACTGACTCCTGTGTTGAAATACCCAACTTTACAGCAGAAATAAACACCTTTAAAGCCTGTAATTTTAGCTGTAATTACAATTTTCTGCTCATCCGTGTTCTGCCACTTATCCAGGTCCACAGGGTAGCTATCTAAAGTGGATCTATTGCTCATTAGGGAGGTTGTGTGTTTGCAATCTGCTGGCAGTCCAGGTACAGCCCATCTACCCGAGGAGAGCTTTGTTGTTGATGGAGGCAGTGTACAACGAATGTGGAAAAAACACTCTTGAGGGTCAAGTTATGTGTCTGGTGTCGCTCGCTTCCCTATTCTGGCCTACTTGGCAATGTGCACTTGGGTTTTTGGAGGACTACATGTGAGCATATGTTGGGTAGTGGGTGGAAATGGTGGGTGGAAACCCCTCTCCTTGCTGTCTGATTTCATAAACAACAAATTGGTTGTGGGGTACAGGACCACAAATTATGCTTTAGCAAAGATACCCAGCTAAGTCTGCCAAGACACAAGACACACCATCCACAATAAGAAACATGTTAGGTGTGTGATCACAACTGTACAGGGTTTTTTTTTTATGACTTAGCTGCTTAAATGTACATAATGCTTACTGCTGTGCATTATTGGCTACATGTTATTATTATCATATATAAGATGCTTTTTTGTGTGTTTAAATGTGTTAAAAATGGTACAGAGAAGCTTGTACTCTGGTTTTCATGAGTTAAATTCTGGTATCTTATTTATTTGTCATCAAAATTAGCATATGTTTGTGTTCTTCCATTCCCTATGCAGAGCTAGCCTAACAGACTGCTGGCTGTGTATTTAACAGACATGAATTGTCAACCTCTCCTCTAATGGTAGAAGAGCCAAATAATTGCCATCAGGAAAAAAATATGCCTCATCTGCTGAGCTGGTGAGATGTAAATCTATCCAGCTGGCTGTTTCTAACTACAGGCTTCATATGTCAGATGCAGGGATGTGTGGCCATTCAAATGCACAATTCTCATTTTGTTCCTTTTGTACTGATCGCGGTTTACCTGTAGCCTACTTTCTGCGGTCGTCCCCAACCTCTGTTCCCTCGACGAAGCGCTACAAAGCTGCAGCATGTGAACCCTACAAGGCTTTTTGTCCCTTCCTCCTTTCACCAAACTCTGCATGGAGGTGAAGGACAATGGCCTGCGAGTTCCCAGGGCAGCGCAGGAGGGCATTAGCGCTGGGATAAGTTAACAACTACCTCCAAGTGCTGATGTCTTATGATAAGGATACACAGCAGTACAATGGGGGTATTTGTAGCTCAGACTGCACAGAGCTCAAAACCAGACAGCTGTGTGATTTATTTGTAAGTTTTTCCTATTTCTTATCTCACACCTCTGCAAGATTCACAAACAAGAGCTGAAATCTGACTAAATCCAGGGTTCCCCTAAATATAATAGCTAAGGTGCTGTGAAACCTGAGAGTGTTTTCTAATGCAGGAGCTGAGTGCTCCAAACCTCCCAGAACTCCTTTGTTTGCACTCATTCATATTATCCAAATAGCAACTCATTTAACGGGTCATTTAATGCGGAGAGGCCTTGTAGCTGGAGACGCATCATTACCTTTGGCTTGGAAACATGTTTTTAAAATGTGAGAAAAACACACATTTGATTTTTGAATTACTACAGAGAGACGATGAGAAAAAAATGAATTTCCTTTTAATATATTCTTTCAAGCCAAGAATCACTTCACATCTTGGTGGCCTCTACATGAAACAGCGAACGCAGTCACAAGTTATCGGCATTAAGTGATGAAGACACAGACTAAGAGTAAACATAAACACACTAATTATTTCATCTTCTTTTAGCTGAGATGCGACCCCACCCCGGTTTGTTTCAAGAAATCTTTTTAGATCTTTCGAAGGATACCTCCGTGTATACATGCATTCCTGTTATGTGATGTGACGGCTGTTTGCAGTTTCAGGTGATTGAGAATCAAGAGCGCTTAGCCACATGATAACACTCCCCGAGTGCTTGCTATGCAGTGAAGCGTGCTCTGGTCTGTCTGTCGATACGCACAATTGACTCCTTTAGACTTAAACCTCACTATGCGTGTGTGTGTGTGTGTTTGTTTGTAGAGAAGGTTCCTCTAGACTGCAGGTATTTTAATGTGGCAAGTGTAGAGCAAGCCTTTTTCCCGGAAATCAGGAGCTCAGACAGTAAACATACATACATAATATAAATATGCAGTGATTCTTTGCGGCTCAATCACACTAAAGTAAAAGGCCTCATGAGTAGGAAAAATTGATGGTTACCCGATTTTATTTTTGATGTCAGACGTCAGACATCGATTACAAGTACTCGCGTTGCCCAGATGTTGAGCTTGTTGGTCGTTCAACTTCTGGGCAACCAGTTTCAATCAGAAGGTGATTACAGAGTTTGCCTGGTGAGAGACAAAGTGTCTCCATTGATTATGGTATGACTCAGACTGACTGCAATCATTCTCAGACAGAGTGGCAAAAGTTTGCAAATAATTGTTGTTTCGTTTTTAAATGCAGGTGGATTCCCAACACAACAATTTGAGTCTCTTTTCAGTAAGGGACTTGACTCATCTGGTTGCCAAATGTTTATAATTTGGTTAAATTCCTTTATGAAAGCAAGGCTGCTTTGCACTTCAACTATGACTGGCTGAGGACTATTTTTTATGACTTGTTATTCTTTAGTTTTGAACTTTTGCTTTCAATTCAGGTTTGTCTCAGTTCATTTCCTGAGTGTGTATGCTCCTTTTAGTTTAGTTTTTTTTTTTTTTCTTGACCAAGCTACTAAACACTAAAGCTAAGGGCATTTCCTGTATATATATATATTTTTTTAAATTAAAATTTACTTTATTTAAAATGAGAGTGTGGCTTCCCATGATGCACTGTGTGTTTCTCTTTGACTTACTATGAGTTTATACACCACTCCTCATTTATTATTGTAGTTATTCATTAGTTATAATTCATTTTAGGTCCTGTTTGCCTTCTCTCATGCCCAACTGGTCAAGGGAGATGGCAAAGCCTCTCTGAGCCTGCTTCTGTTGGAGGTTTCTTCCTGTTAAAAGGTATTTTTTTCTTCCCACTGTTGCCAAGCGTTTGCTCATAGGGGGTCATCAATAATTGTTGGGGTTTTCTCTCTATCATTGTAAGACCTTTACCTTACAATATCAAGCACCTTGAGGTGACTTTGGTTGTGATAAGGCACTATACAAATCAAAATGAGTTGAATGGTTTTAGTATTTTAGCACAAATATTCCACATGTTATGGTACTGTAATCTTTATGTGGTTAGGTAAAATTTCTCATTGGTGTTGGCCACATACAGTTTCCCGCTAATGTGTTTTGGCTTGAGAGTAATGTAAATGTCAGATATGACTTGAATACAAATACACATATTTATTCATAGATTAAGAAAACAAAAACTCATTTTTCTTTTAGCTAAAGAATTTTTGTTTTAAAAGTCACTCAAGTAACGTAACACTGAAATTACAATTTTGTAGTTTCCAGCTTTCACGGCACTTTTGTCAAGGCCACGTGGACTCCCACGGGCCAAGAAATTATTTTTTCTAATTATCGTAGTCAGGCTTGTGCATCTTTGCCTTACGCTCAAAGGTATTGCAACTTTTAGCAAGTGAAAGTAAAAACATCTACTGTCAAACGCTACACATACATCATCCTATATAGAGAAGGTCAAACTTACACAGGAAAAAAAAAAACCCACTGACAGAAACAAGCAGATACAGTGTGGTGTGAAGATGCAGTACCCACTGTGTGCTGTGGGCGTCATCCGGGTACGAGGATGCCAACGTCCATAAGCTCTCTCCATCTGTCACCAGCGTCCTGTCCTGGTGGGCGGCTTGTCTTTCTTTTTATTTAACACTTTCTTTGTTGCAGTGTGAATCTCATCAACATGCAAATAAAGAATGAGGCAATAACTGAATTAAATGCCTTTTAATTCACGCATAAAAACATTTCACAGTGTCCATCCAGCACTGAATTGTAATGAAGACCAACCCCCCCTCCCAAATTGTTACAGCAACGGGAGAGAAATATGTGCTGCTGTAAAACTGAGTATAACTAATGGCTTCATGTCTTCTCATATCTTGTACTTCATCTTTCCTGTTCTGCTGAGGACACAGATATGCTGAAATGACAAGGGGTGATAAAAAAACAAAACAATTAGCTTTGCGATCATTTTTACAAACTTTAAATTCCATTTGCAGCATGAAACCATAAAAACCAGCAAATTTGAAAAGAGAAGAAAGTGATCTCCAAAGATATGACTCATTCATTAATCTAGCTTCGGGTGTCCTGGGGATTCAACTCATATTTCTTCTGTGGGATGAGGACAGATAAGAGGGTAAGCTTTAACTCTGTCTGATTATCAGAGCCTAACCTCTACATTCCACAGGTCACACGCCTTCAAACTTTCATAACGAATACCACCCCCCTCAAACATGGACAAGAGCCACACACACAACCATACAGTACAAACAGTGCGTGCTGCACATACTGTACGTGACTGTGGGAGTCAAGCTTAGTGTTTCACATGAGTAAGAGGTAAATTCGAGGTCACGTTTCACAGATAAAAACAGCAGGGTCCATATAGATTTGAACTTATCGCTTTCAGAAAGACTTGAATTAAACTGAATTCATATCAAAAAGAAAGTGAGAATATTTACAGAGGAACAACAGCCTAAAGAAAAAAACTAATCTAAATAATCCATATGTTTTACTATATTTCCACTAAAAGTAAACAGAAATAAACCGATAGAAAAAGATTGCGCAAATGCTTGTGTAGTAATTTAAAAAAAAGCAAGGAAAATAATAAGTAAGTAATTATAAATTGTGGGTCATGTGCTGAGCTTCAGCAGAAAGAATAATGATATAAAAGCACAGGAAGAGGTAATCCTTCTCAAATTAAAACATGGAACAAAAATAAAATGCATGTACATTATTATTTGAGTTCTGACCAGTGCTTATTTATTTAGCTTATTTCACTACCTTAACGCATTGTTACCTACACGGGGTTTAATATTTTTTACCTTCTGTGTTAAGCACATTGCGCTTACAGTAAGTAACCATGTGTCCTGTTCTTAGTGGTGTAATGCCATTTGGATGTTGGAGTTTCTAGGAATTTGAACCAAGTGGATGGGGGCTTGGAAATAAGTAGTTTATCATAGGTATAGACTAATTCAACATTAAGGGTTGTCTTCTGCTCTTTTTAAAACTGGGTTGTAGTTTGGTGACTATTAAAAATGTGCATTTAACAATGTGCAAAAGATAGATGATATTTGTAAAGTGTGAATAGTGTATGGATTTGGATATTGAAGAGGAAGGCTTTGCAGGTATAGCGCTCAGTTTATTTTATGCTTGAATTAGCAGGTTGAAGCGGGATAAATGATAATGGCAAACAAAGGAGGGCAGAGAAGCTATCCTTGCCTAGAACCCCTGCGTAAAGTGAAGCACTGTGATATTAGTTCATTGGTAATAACTGCTGCCATTGGTGCTGTGCAGTCCACTCTATTCTCCAGAGGAACTTTTACATAGCTTAAAATAAAACAGCAGTCTTCTTAATCCTAACATTTAGAAGCAGTGGATAAATCTGTGTTTTTTGTTCAACTTAAAGCACATTAGAACAATTTTTCAGATTAATATTTGTGCTGCAGTTTGAATCTTGACTCAACAACAACGTACGCTCACTGTACACTGTATTTGGTACCTCTTGCTAGTACTGGGTTGGACCTCTTTTGTCTTTAGAAGTGCCTTGATTCTTCATGACACAGATTCAACAAGTTCCTGGAAACATTCCTCAGAGATTTGGGGCCGTACTGGCATGATAGCATTACACAGTTGCTGCAGAACTAGACAGCTGCACTTCTATGTGGATGCCATTGCGTTCCACCAAATCCAAAACTTGGATTGAGATCTGGTGACTGTGGAGGCTACTTGAGTACAGTGAGGTCACTGTCATGTTCAAGAAACAAGTTTGATGTGATTTAAACTCTATATTATGGTGATTTTATCCTGCTGAAAGGAGTCATCACAAGGTGGGTACACTGTGTCAGAAAAGAGCTGTGGGCCAAAGTGTGCCAAGAAAAAATGTTCATGTTCGAAGTCACCTAAGAACACTTTCCTCCCCATTTGGTTTGAACGGGTTGTCTTGACCATGGCTTCATGGCTAAACGCACTAAGTTGCTGCCATGTGATTGGCGAATTAGATATTTGTTTTAACAAGCAGTTGAACTAATGTACCTCACAAATTGGCTAACGAGCGCTGTTTGAGATCATTTTGGGGGGTTAGTACATCAAGTCTGTTGGCTACATTTTCATACAACCCAGTAAACTCACCATTTATGGTTTATCAGGAACTGGAAAAAATAGACACAATACTTCATTCATTTTTATCTTACATGTAAAAAAATCTATCATCTATATCATTCAGTGACTCCTGTCCTGGGTGACACAGACCTCCTTGTGAACACAGACAGAAACCACCTGCTCTGAGCTACTTTGCCTACATGTAAAATCTCCTCGTGGCGGGGAGCATACCTGTTGGGTGAGTTTAGGTTTCAGGCAAAAGAAATGTCGTCTTTGATTTACTATGTTTACTCTCCCCTCCTGTCTCTTTCATCCCTTTCTCTCAGCTCTTTGGAGTGTCAGACTTACATTCAGGTCACGGAAGTATTCATTGTAGTCAAGGGCATAGCCAACAACAAACCGGTTGGGAATTTCAAATCCAACATCTGACAATGCAAACACAGACACGAATGTTAAGTATCCTGATTTGTTTAACATTAAACAAAAATTCCATGTTAGTCTTTTGACTAAACCAGGAGTGAGTGGCTGTGATATCGCACATAACAGCTAGAAATACACATTTTGATGCCTTTATTTGAACTAATTATGAGGTGTAACAAATAAATTTCAGCTCAAATTAAAGATGACTGATAGGTGTTGATGAAGCAGTCTCACCTGAATCATCACATCTGATTAAGCGAACAAGAGAAACAAGTGACACATGTTAGGAGGAAAATCTAACACCCAGAGCTTAAACTCAAAGAAAGAAAATTTAAATGAAAAGAGAAAACTAGGTATGTGACTTTTTTAATGTAGTAGACTTTTAAATTTGTGCTAATACTTCTGAGTACCCTGCTGTAAGCTGCTGCAAACTTTTATTTTTAAATGCCAGTATCTAGAGCTGAAAAGTTAAGCTAAAGATGATGTGAGAAAATCTGCAACACCTCCACTAGCCACAGGAGGCCAGTTCACAGTTCAAAGCTTGGTTCAAAAAATTGTTTTTTCATTTGATTTGGACATAAAAGGACTGTCTTTGATGCTTTTTGTGTTTCCAGTGCTTCTATTTTAGTGTGTTAGTGTGTGTGTGAGAATGTTAGACACAGCGCTTAGGTATAGGAAAAAGTGCTTATATGAATATGCATGTGAATGAGGCATGTAGTAAAGATCTGTGCATAAGCGAATTACTGCAAATCCTAATGAACAACATTAGCAACATTGTAAAGAAGAGTGGGTTGAAATTCCTCCACAACAAAGTGAAAGACTGATAAAATCCCACATAAAATGATGACTTGCTAAAGATTGTTTTACAAGCTAAAAAATCATGGAGTGTACTTAGTTTTAACCTACTGTTCCTGCATTTTGGCTTCGTTTTTCTATTACACATAAAGACGTGGCGTAGATCATGTATGATTGTTCATATGAGGTTGTATTTAGGTCATTTCAGAACCTGCTAAAGACTAGATCATTTTGATTATGTCCTGATATGCAGGGCTTTAGAGTTCAACAAGAGTATACTTTCTTTTTCCCATGACTGCAGCCAGTAGTTAATATTTGTAAACTAAAGCTATATCTTGTTTGTTTAATTTGTTCAAAAACTGACTTCCTGAACTCCAGGAGGTCACTTACTTGTGTCATGTGGCAAGGCACCTTGAACACACACTTCTTTTGTATTTTGGGATTAATTATGGGAGGACTATCAGGTCAGGACACTTCCCTAATAACGAACAATTTGCTAAATTATCTCAACTTTGAAAAAAAGTGAAAGAATAAGAATAAATGAAAAAGACTGGCAAGTAGGGTACGGTGTGGGTGCTACGAAGGTTAAAACAAAGAGCATAGTTACAGTCTGTCAGACTTTCAGCCATGTTAGCGAGCCTCTTCACAAGCAGCCTGAAATACAAAATAATAACGTTAATTACCCTCAAATGTTAAATTATGTATGCAATATCAAAAAGTTGACTTTTTCAGTTTAATTTCAAGACATTTATTGGTACAAAAACCATGGTGATAAGACAAAGACTTGAATATTTTTAAAAATGTACATTTTTGGAGTGTTTTCACAATCCAGAGGAAATAAACTTTCAACATGAACCATGTGTGAGAGATGTTTATCATGTTTCTGTGATCTCGGGAATGCATAGGAACAGCCCACAGACACGAGATAGCAGTGACTGTGGACAAGTGATATCTTCTTGTGCTTGTCACACGCTTGGCATTTCCTTTACAGGGGAAAACACAGACGACTAAAAAACTGGCTCACCCTGCGACCTTGACCATCTTGGGTTCAAAGGTCTCCACATGCTTCAGAAGGGCCTTCATGGTCTTTCCTGTGTCAACTATGGCCTGAGGGGAGGGAAGAGCAAAGCAAGAGAGGAAGAGATTTGGAGGAAAGAACGTGGGATATATGAGAGTAAAAAAAAGATCAAGATATAGTACTATGCAAAAGTCTTGAGCCACAACTGATTTCTTTATATTTTGCTTGCCAGGAGGAAGCAGATTTTTTTGTACTTTTAAAGTTTTTCAGGCTTTATGAAGGTCTTTTAAACTTTGCCTTTGGACATTGGCTGGTTTTCATGTGTTCAGTCCTTGCACCCATCGATCAGAGGAATTCTGAGACAATTTATGAGCAGCCTGTCACAAAAACACTTTTCACTATGAAAAATGCCAAAGATAATGCAATTGAGGTGTTTCCCAAAGAACTCTTAGGAGGACACCAACCTGATAAGTGGACAAAAGAAGAAGAAGCAGGTCTCAAAAAGCTACATATAGCAGGTGGACAGAATCTGAAAGTCATGTCATTAAGAATTAGGAAGACAATCCAGCAAAGACTTGACACAAGACCTTAGAGATCAATGTGACCCTTCTGTTGATCCATGCGTTTGTTAAAACCTCGTCAGAAATGGTCACGGTCGAATGGGGAACACTAGCAATATTATAGAAGCAGTGTGGGGTCTTTGAATAGCTTCCCGAAGCCTGGAGAAATATTCCTGAAGACTACTTAAAGAAATGAAAAGAAAGCTTGCTCAAGAAAGTTCAGACTGTGTTGAAGAATGAAAAAAGCAAAAAACAAATATTGACTTTCAAGCTTGTTAGAACTGTACAAAGACTGTTTTTGTGTTATATACTGTATTTTTATTTATGCTTACACAAATCTCAATAAATTTCTGCACCTATTTCCCATTTTCCCAGAAATATAAAAAGGAATGAGGGGTAGCTCAAGACTTTTGCACAGATATTGATCAACTGAAATAGGTAAATGTATTGATGAGCAATTAATGAATACATGAGTGGCATCTGAGAGAGGATTTCCAGTTACTTAAAACTTTTCTGTTACATTCATTTAAGAGCTGAGACATTGTATAACTGAGAAAGATTACATTGAGCTTGAGCAGCTGTTCGTTGTTTTGCATCTGAAGCTATCAGAGCATGCTTTTTTTTCATGTTCTTATGTGTGTCTGAATCTAGTCCAGAAACCTTCACAACTGGAACATGATCCCAAAGAGGAACAGAATGAGTTTTTTCCCCCTACGTTGACATAAACCACAACAACAACAACAACAACAACAACAACAACGACTTTTCAAAAGTAAATGATGTCTCAAAGGGGGCAGAAATGGTTCTAATTGAAGGGATTTATCCGACAAAAATAGAAAAACATACACACACACTCACCTCAACAATGAGCACACTCTTGGTAACATGTGAAAAACAAAGAAAGAAAAAGATTAGAGAACGGTCACCTTTGAATTTTAATACTGTTCAAGCAAAGCAAAAATAAAGGCGGTGTTGTGTCTTTGAATTTCTTAGAGATGGTATCTATAGCAGCGATGTTGGCAGTATTTTTAGCGCCTGAACAAAAACACAGACGACTCATTCTCTTCTCCTCAGTAATGAACATCTGTGTCTACAGTGAGCAAAAGTCACTTCGGAGCTGCACACTTTCACTGCTGCACACTTTCAAATGAATTCTTGTTTCCTTGGCTGGGTGTATGGGACTCTTTGTGAGCGGTGGAGAGTATCTATGGTTTTGGGGAGAGTGATCGCAGAGAATGCGGGCGCCTGGCCAGTGTTCCCAGTCTACACCTGAACACTCTTGCATAACGCTTAATAGGAACAAGTAAAGAACACAAGAACTACAGCACAACAAACCTGTCTTACTGCCTGCTGCAAACTATGGAGCCAGTTGGGCAACAAATATGCACTGGCAATTATTTCACTGTGTATGGCATCATTGGCTGGGATTTTATGATTCTCCTAGGATCTGTAAATGAGATGTTTTGACTTGTTTTTGTAATTACATTTTTGGGAACCTTGGGAATCACTTGTAATGTTTACCAAGTTAAAGCTGGTAAACATTACAACGTTTTTCTTTTTTTCTGGGGGGGACAAAACATGTCAGAAACCTGCTAATTGAGATTTTTGCTTTTACTTCAGTGAGGCATGCATTCAGTACATGGCCAGTTGGAACAAACAAGGCTTTCAGGTCATCCAACTTTTAACGTTTTGTGATTCAAGTGATCTAAGAGGGAACTAGTTGTCTGCACCTCCTCAAGTCTCTGTTTTCAGGCTTTTGAAAATCCATCCCAGTTGTGTCAAACATACGGCCCGTGGACCAGACTCCAATTTTGCCCACTGGATGGCTTTGGAAAATGTGAAAGAGGGCATACACTTTTGAACTTTTAAGGTATTTTTATATTTTTTTGTTTTGAAAAACTGAGATATGCTGTTGAAATTGTGCCATTTCTTATATTAAGATATCTCAGGGATTAAATGTGTGACAGAAAGAGGTATTTCACTTGTCCGATCCACTTAAGATCAAACTGAGTTGTCTGTGACTCACGATAAAAAAATTAGTTTGACATCCCCAATTTAACCTGAAGGAGGAGAGCTATATTTTCCTGATTTAGACCCACTGCAATTTTACCTTTCTTAGTTTATTCTTTAAATATTGTAACACCTTTTAATTACCATTAGAAGGAATAAGTGTTAATTTATCACTGAAATAGTGACCCGGCGATGGCGCTAGAGGAAAATTCAGAAACTTAATTGGCTGTGGGTCATCCTGTGCACCAAACTTTGTGCAGATGCCCCCTGTGATGCGAATCAAAGTAGTAGTAGTATCATTAATATGGTCATCTCAGGCACAGCTCTGAGTTCATGTCACCTCACAGATCAACATAACATTTACATCACTGAGCTGACATTATGCTGGCATCATCACAAAGAAACTCATACTCGAATTGGAACTGAGCCTCAGAAACATTTCGCCGAGGAAATGATGATGACTGATGATTAGTTTTGTTGATAATGTATGAGACTTGTGGGAGGCTTGTGTGTAACATTTCCGTCCAGAGGAAGAATTATGACAAGAGCACCAACATTTTTTTCCCCCAAATGATTCATGCTTTCTGTGTAAGGTGCCTGTCAGATTTTCTGTTTTTATTCCCTCTGACCTTCTTAACCGAAGTGAAAATATATTGTCGCTAAAGCACATTTTGACAGCTAACTTTAAAGAATTCAACATCAGTGTTTTTTTTTTTTACTCCAGGGTAATTCCTCACAATGCCACAGACTGTCCTTACAGGCTCCTCAGTCCTCCCTGCCAGGGATTAGCAGGGACAAACAGTCAATAAATCTGCCTTCTTCATTTGCCTGAAATCTCTGATTCATGGCCAGCCTGGAGACTGTAGGACGATATGGTGAGCAAGCCTCAAAAGTCAGAGCATAATGGTGTGGTCTTGTCTAAGACTAAGTCTAACAAATGTAACTGTGTGACTTTGATCACTTGGGAAAAAATTCTACCTAAAGACAGATTAACTGACAGCTCCCTCTTGAGGCTAGGGTAGTTTCTTTTAAAACAGCATGTAAAAATATCCTTATCCCATGTCATTATCCTGACTTTGCTTAATTACAAACACACACCTTTCCACGCAGAAAAGACAGATCTCGGCATCCTATGATGTGCAGGTCCTCTGTTGATTGGTCATTCTGGTGAGAAGATGAAAAGAGGGCAGTTAATTTTTATTTTGCAACCCAGCAATTGTAATTTTTGCCCTTTTTGTTACTCCATGGTTCCTGTTAATTACAATAAATTGCCTTTAACTGTGATTTACAGTCAGGGATATGTGCAGCAACCTCAGTTAACTGCATTGGTTTTCAAAATTTGTTTTTGCTCAAGCCACACCAAAATTTCAAGGCACACCCATTCTCATAATTGGAGAAAATGGCCTTTAAGTCATCTGGAATATCAGCAGTTCTTCATTTGCTGCTATTGTCAGATGAAGGAACTTGCAGGAATACAGATCCTTACATCTGCAATAAACTCCACTTGTATATAACTTGCATCCATCTTGTTATCAGACACTTTTTTGGTGTCTGAATGCATGAATGAGTGTATCTTAATAACTCCTTTCAGCAAATGATACACTTGGGCAGAAGGCTGTCAACCCCGGTCCAGGTGAAGCGTAGCTTTTGCAGTAGTGTCTTTTGACAGTTTCTTTTGCGGGGTTTTCTCCACACATGATAGTGATTATTTGACTTCAATAACCAGGGCCTCTAATCAGGGAATTTCATGTGTTCTAATATAGCGCATCTAAATTACATTTGTTACTTTTTGTACAGTGACAACACAAATGCTTAGTTGACACAAAATCTAAGGCTAGGCACACTATTTGGGAACCACTGTGTTAAAAAAGCAAACAGATCCTGACAGGCTTGAAAAAGGGTCAGAAAATATAATAATTTAGTAAAAGTAATGGATAAGCAGTAGAGAATATCCATTGAAAAGAAATACACATTAATGATAAAATTATATGGTATATTAAAGTGATTAAATGATTGTAAAATCTCACTAAATATTTTGCTAACAGTTATAATTATTAGCTAACAGCTAACACTAGATAAAAAATTATCTAAACATTCACACAGATATTTGAAATGCAGTAATTTCTTAAAACTATGAATAAAAAGCTTTTTTTCTAAATAGAGTAGCAGCTATATGCTAACTAATGGTATGAATCAATAGCTAACTGCTAGCTAATGGTATGAATCAACAGCTAAAATTGCTAGCTAATGCTAGATAGAAAAAAAAAAAAAAAAAAAAAAAAAAAAACAAAAATATAATATATATATATATATATATATATATATAATATTATATATATATATATATATATATATATATAGTATATATATATATCTGTATCACTATAATCTTATTTTCTGATGTTCCCATGGTGGGCTGTTCTGATGAAGTAAACACTTCATGTTTAATCCAAGTTCAGCCAGTTCGAGTTCAACGCGATCTTGGATATATATATATATATATATATATATATATATATATATAATACTAATATTAATAATAACAATAGGTAAAATAATGTATATATATGTATATATTATATATATATATATATATATATATATATATATATATATATATAGTTACCACTGTGTGGTACATAACTGCACATAGGGAGACATATTTCACAAAGTCTTTGAGATAAAATGTCCTGAACATAAACAAAGATATGAACTCTGAGGAAGCATGGTATTTAAAGCTTTTAAGAATGGAAGCTTTGAAGTTAGACTTGGGCTGCTATAGATGCATCACTCGGATATGATAAGAGCAGCAGTGACGTGGACAAAATCCTGGCCTGGGGCAGGTCACATGTCTCCATCATGAGCTGCGAGATTGACTAACGACATTATCACTCAAACACACAGTCCTACAGTGCAGTAACAGTAACCGCTACCCCACGCCATGTTGTTGACATCAAAGTACAATGATCAGGAATCAGATGAACTTTAATATAAGACTATACTTTTGTATGGTCTCTTAACTTGTCATCATATCTTTTCAGATTTAATGTTGATTTCTGCCAGTTTTGTACTTTTGTCATAATTTTCTGTAGCCTTCACAGAGTTAAATAAAGCTCTAGTAAGTTGAACTTATTTTGGTATTATTTAAATAACTCATTCAACCTTGCCCTAAGAAAAATAAAAACCTTATATCGTGGAACATCACAGCATCACTAGGCTGTCCTCGCTGCTTTAACCTCCACGAAAGCCAGTGAATCCTCCCCCGTGCTCAAAAGGGACTAAAAAAATGTGACCACATGTAGAGAAAAACAAATCACATCCTTTCAGATGTGCTGCTTGCCAAAACACACCACAATAAAACAAGTGACTTTGCCGACAGTTGATATAATTGTTACCACTGCTGCGTCGTTCCACAGTTTATGCTTTCCAGGTGTTGGACTCCATCATGACATGAGCAGTTTTTCTTGGCAGCAACAGCTGCACCAATTAGCAGACTGCTATTTTCATGACCTGAGCTATGCAGTCACTCCACATTGAGTCGTCCTTGAGTTGCCCTGTGTGAATGTTTCACATTAAACATGAACAACAGTGACATCTGGTGGCTCTGGCTAAAGTATGCGTTGAAAGCAGGGCTTCCGCAAAAATTGTGGTCATTATCATTTAAGATTTTGTTTTACTTTTATTTATTTAAGGTTAAAATAACAAAAAAGCACAGTAAAAATGCACGTCCCACTTCCTGATAGGAGATTGGAATCCTTACATTGCTTGCTTCGTCTGTTTACACAACACATTCAGTCAATTGACTGATATAAAACTGCAAAGGAAGTCCTCCCAGGTGGAAAGGTAGAACCAAGAATATTTCACTAATATTTGAGTTGGCGTGTATAAGAAGGAGAAAAATGGGACGATGTGATTAAAGCATGTAATATGTTGTAATGTTTTTACATTTGCCATGTGTTCATTAGTTTGTAAATCCTCAGTTTACCTACTGCCATGTTGTTTTTCAGCCAGAAGTGACCACATCTGGATGAAATGATGGAGTTCCAAGTTATCAGCCCACAGTGGCAAGCTTGGTTAACAAGGTGCATCCATAAACTTTATGGGTTCATTGCACAGACAGAGATGTCTTGTAATTTGTGATAGCAGCATATGGCTAAACTACTACACCTTTACTCATTTACAGACTTTTTGCCATGTGATTTGGCAGATAGTTACTCCAATAGGCACCTACACCTCAATTAAAATTAAGAGGTCCAGTTCTGAGACTTGATGGAGAGCTCAAAGCTACGTGAAACATCCCTAACTTAAAGCATTAATTAAATGTAAAAATCTAACAGCGTACCTGTCACACCATAGGGTGGAGATGCTGGGCAAAATGCCCTTTGAGGCAATTTATGAAAGTTTTTTCATAGATTGCTGCACTACCCACCAGGTAGCTCTTCAGACGGATGAACTCTACTCGGGTCTCCAGGTACTTGTTGGAGTTCCGGCCGAGAATCTTGATGAACTCCACCAGATCTGCACAGAATTTGTAGCCTCCCTTCAGAACACACAGGACCATTATGTTGTCATCCCGAAAGTCATCCATGATGTAGTGGGCCAGGCGTTCGGTCCTGCAAGAGCAAATCAAATCATACTACAAATGAGAACACTCAGAGATCGCAGCCCCCTCCTAAGGGCAACAGCCCTTTGATGTTTCATGCCTTTTAGTTTGATGTTTTATGCTGTCAGCATTGTTAATATAGAAATCTAGGATAGCATATAATGTTTTCGTGTCATTGTAAAGTAACATAATGTTGTATTGGGAAAATAATAAGCTCAAACAAAGATTGTCCTCCTTTGACCTGTGATGTTGAACGCTACATTCTGAAATAGTGTATTTTCTTTTCTTTACTCGTATGCCTCATTAGGGGCGATCGTGGCTCAAGAGTTGGGAGTTCGCCAAGGTTCGAGCCCCGGCTTGAACAGTCTCGGTCGTTGTGTCCTTGGGCAAGACACTACACCCGTTGCCTACTGGTGGTGGTCAGAGGGCTGGTTGGCGCCAGTGTCCGGCAGCCTCGCCTCTGTCAGTGTGCCCCAGGGTGGCTGTGGCTACGATGTAGCTTGCCATCACCAGTGAGTGAATGGGTGGATGACTGGTTGTGTAAAGTGCTTTGGGGTCCTTGGGGACTAGAAAAGCGCTATACAAATACAGGCCATTTACCATACGATTGGAGCAGAAGTGGCTGAAATCTTTTGTTGTCAATAAGCTGTAAAAATGTGACATTTTAACATATATTCACGCAGCGTGTGATTTTACGAAATTTTATGACATCATTGTGATGTTGTAGGCCTTTCTTACCTATTCATGATTACCCCATGTGGAATGTAAATACTCTCGATGTCATCATGGTAGTGCTCAGGATAGGTGAACAGGTCCAGACTGTAGCCTGGCCAATCATCTTTTATCTAGGACAGGCAAATTATTGTCAGGACCGATTATTGGCAGTATCAACATATGCTGGGAAGATACAACAATACATACATACATACATATGCTACAATCATTATAGTGTGATGATGTTTGTTTTAATCAATTATTTATATTTATTTAATTTACGTTACTATAAAATTGCTTTGCTTTTTCATTTTAGTTTCATTTAGTTGACTTGTGTGTCTTGATAAACAAAAAAATTTGGAAGTTATATATTTTTTTAAATCTCTGAATTAAAAAAAACAACTAAAATTGAAAGCAGACAGTTGTCTTTACTGCTTTGTTTATTACAAAACCACAAAAGATATTAAGTAGCAAAAACGGGAATAATAGCCTCTAATAGCCGTAAAAGTAACTACCAAACACTACTTTAGCACTATAGATGTTTAAACGTGGTGTTAAACATACCACAATTCTTCTTTTTATCCCTGCATTGTCCATCTGTAGCAGTGCTGACATTGTGGCACAACTTATAGACGAATCCACGTGAAAGTGACCTTAAGTGGAAACACACAAAAACAGCTTACTTCCTTCTGAACAAGACAAAAGCGGTAACATGTAGAGAAACATTTCTTCAAATACGACCTTCACTAACATCCAGAGCAACATCTCTAATCTGTTGTTAACAAATCATCACTTACTGTTACTGTTGCCTTCTTTTCAGTGCCCACTCACAAAGCAGAGAGGGAAAATAGGAAGGCGAGGCATCCAGACGAGTTCCGGCCAGCCTCATGGGCCGTGCGATCACGCTTGAGTCATTTGTGCAAAAGGAAAGCGTTGTTTTGGTTGTGGAGATTTACATGGATAATCAGCTTCATGTGATGCTGTGCTGGCTCGTGGCCGCATCGCAGGCCACTGCAGACGGGGGAAGGGGGAAAGAAATCTAACAACAAATGATTGGTTCAGTACGTAAGCAGTAAATTTTATTCAGTTTTCTGAGGGATTATACTTTTTAAGGAACACAATAAGAAATTATTTGTCATTTAATAAATGCTTAAATTTTAGCTCTGGATTTATGGATTCACAGAAGGAGAAAAGAAGAGCTAGACTTGAAAATCCACTTGAATGAAGGGCTGCTCAGTGACAGCAAAAATTGTAATTGCAATTACTTTGGTCGATATTGAGATCACAACAATGTAATGTGATTACTTTGGGGAAATAGTGGGTAATTCATCAGAAAAAACAAAATGAGAAATGTGACCTGAAGTAAACACAGCCACAGCCTTGTGGGGGAGTGAATTTGGGGTTTTATGGAGGACACTTGTAAATGAGAGCTAAGGGGCTGAGATCATGTTGTTCTAATACTTATTGAAAGCCAAAATCTATTCGTTTTCTTAACTCCTTATCCAATTTAGTGTTGTGAAAAGGCTGAACCTGCTGTTATAAAGTTAAATTTGGGGTGCACCTTGAACAGCTTGCCAATCCATCAAAAGGCTAACAGCAAGAGACAGATCACATTCAAATGAAGGCCAAATTTTATTTAACAAGCATGTCATTGGACTGTGGGAGGAAGCTGGAGAACCAAAGAAAACCCACACAGAAAGGCACCAAGTGACTGATAGATTTAAACTCAAGACCTCCTTGCTATGAAAAAACTGTTCTAGCCACTCCACTGCTGTGCTGCCCAACTGAAATAAAAACTTCAGTTAACAGCACAGTCCTGCACAAGTGTCAAACAAATCAGAAAGTCTGAGGAAAATTTTGGTACATGACTTGCCAAGTTTTTTGACGTCACATCAGGCTCAAAAACATGACAGACGAAAGCAAACATTTAGATTTATTGTAAAATGTTTTCCATTTATTTTGCAAATTCATGTGCCACTTTGACTTACATTTAACTTGTATTAAAGTGTCACGTTGCAACTGTCGACTGTCCTAACTTAACTGGAACTGTGAGTAATGGAAATAACGTGAAAGAGAAGTTGTGAATAGATTCTGATGGTTTTGGATATTAGCTATTTATACTGGGCGACAAGTGAAAATTTATAAAGTAATGACGACATCAGAGAAACACCGTTCAACCATGATATGAGTGTTGACATTGCATTGTTTTCCCCAAAAGAGGACACTCTGCAAGTTCCCTCTTGGCAGCTACACAACAAATGCCAGAAAAAGATGTTTATCTTACATGTGACTGAAAGAAAAAAATGTATTGGCTGATATATCAGAATTTTAAATGCCCAAAATAGTGAATTTAGTATTGCTCTTAAAAATCCTGCATCATTTGGGCTTTAGTCATGAAACAACCTTCAAACTCAAAAGGCCAACCGTTGGAAGGGACATGAGCGCAGGAGGTAACAGTCATAGTTTCAGTATTTTAAGGGTTGATCTTCTGCCAGAACTCATCCACAAAACTCAGTTTAAACTGAGATCATGCTGGAAAACAACAACAACCTTGTAATCTACTTTCCCCTGATAGCTTTAAAAGAGCAAGAGGGTTAAAGAAAGTCTGTGTTGAGCTTGTAACCTGATTTATGTTTTGAGCTTTTCTTCCTCTGTTAAAATCTCACAGGAACTAAACAGCAGGGTTCGTCATCATCAGCCAAAACTTTCTCTCATGTCATGAAACAGCACAACAAATTTATGTTTTTGGACTACACATGGAAGTGGCCCAAGTCATAAATTCATGTGAGTGTTGTTTGTCTGAAAAAAATCTTGTATTTTGTATTAGCTTTGTAAAAAAATGAACTGACACTGCAAAAAAAATATACAGTAAATCAACCAGTTTATTTTCCTCATGAATGGGGCAAATAACAACATTCACTACACTGCATCTCATCTCTGCTGAGTTTAATCATCGTTAGGTATGTAGATGATTTTGAACCTCTCGAATAAGTCGATGTCGTCCTCCAGCTGCTTCATTTGCCTTTCGAGGCAGTCCTTGGTGGCCCTCTGTGACATAGTGTCGATGATGAGGGGAAGGGCCTGGTACTCGTGATGTAGCTTATCCCAGGTCTCCTTCAGGCGCTGGACAGAAGATTTGGGGAAGGAAACGCATCAATGTCACAAGACAGACTATCTGTATTCAAGGCTTTTCTGAGTAAACAGGCATCAGTCAGAGATGTTACAGAGGGTAATTATCTAAGAAATCCTGCTGAGTAAGGAAGGAAAACTGATATTTTGCAGCCAGATTTGGCTTTGGTGTATTGTTGTTTATTTTTGCATGTGCAGCAGTTAAGGAGGAGAAATCTCTTGAACTAAAAAACAGTATACACGAGTATGAGAGTTCTAATTAATTTGATGTTACATGCACTTTATACAAGTTTAGTTGTGAACATTTTTATAAGTAAACTCAGAAAATGTTGCTGGAATGATCTCAGAGATCTCAGTTTTTGTGCCTCATACCCCGCACAGGGACAGACACTGTGTCGTGTTAATGGCTAAACATTAACATTGTTCTGTGCCATATGAATCACTGGATACCATATCACCTACTCACACGAGGCAAAGCTTAAACACAAAATAATGATGCCCACATTGAGAAATCAAGGATCTAAAGTTAAATATCGATGGTCCCGCTAGTCTTCTGACTTCCTACTGTAAGTCCTTATATAGAAAAATCAAGTTTAAATGAAAAACTGTACTCTGACAAAGAACCCTCAACATTTACTTTAACTGAGAACAATCTAACTGTCATCCTACAGCTTCACTGTGTTAATGCATGTGAATAACTGAAGTTCAAAACCCTGTATAACTCAAGTTAAATCCACTAAATTGTAAGATCCAGCATGGTTCCTCTGCATTTATTTACCTTCAGGATGGCTTGTCTCTCCTCCTCTGTCATGTGTTTCATGGCCCTCTGCTCCCGCTCTGCTTTTACAAAGTTTTCATACTCCTCTCGAGCCCTCCTCTCTGCTTCGCTGCGCTGCTGGAGGTACGCTGGTACTCTACCAAAGTCCTTCATGCAGGGTGTGTTTTATGAGCAAATATAAACATGATATTATTCTAGCATGCCTTATGTTGATATTTAAAAGACTGCAAGTAGCAACTGTAGGAAAATACCTTTCGTGTGATGAACTTTGGGACAAGCCCTGAGTTTTCCAGCACCTGTTTGTGCCCCTTGCTGGTGTCTACGCATGCAGGCTGTGGTTTCATTGGCACCAGTTCAGGTGTTTCCTTTAAAAAGTCCCTCTTGGTGTGAATTCCCATCAGTGGTTTGTCATTCCTTCTGGGGACTGGAGGTTTCCTCTCAGTGAAAGAGCAGGTTTTATGAACATCTTTGGAGCTCTGTGTCTCTGAAAGATGCAATGCCAAGAAGCTCATATTCACCATCTCAAGGCAAACCCACACGCTAATAAAACGGTGTGACAGATGAACTCACGTTCAGGCAGTTTGGGCTCTTTCGAATGCTTCTTGAGGAAATTCTCTGGAGATGGCAACTCCACTCTGGCAGGTCCCATCGTCCTTATCGGCTCCTTCACCAGTTTTCTCTCCAACATAACTGCAGGCCTGAATTTTGATACATACCTTAAAAAAAGAAAAAGAAAAAGTAACACATTAGTTGAAGCAATCACTACAAAAACTTAAAAACAAAATTATTATTATTTTAATTAAAAAAAATGAAAACTATGCTTTAAAAGAAAAGAAAACTGAATTGATATACTGTACTCACAAAATGTAATATTATAAATCACAATTTTTAGTCTTTTCTGCTGTTATTTTTAAGTCAAACTTGTCAACAAAATAGGTAGTGATGAGTTTTTTTAGTTTTTCATTTTAATTTACATAACAATCTGAAAGAACATTAAATCAACTACATTATTACACAATACTGGATTTTTCCCCCTATACTATTTTTAAAATACCGTCCAAAAGCTGCGTATCTGTTTTACGACCTAATCTAAATTTACAGTAGTGTAGAACATCTGACTAGTGGGGGTTTACCATACCTGTTCGAAGCGAACAGTTCACTGCGCATGCACGCAGGAAAAATGTCTAACAGGACTGGGTTCCCACCCCCGGAGTCAAGCTACTTGCATGTAATGTCTCCTCAGTTACACACAGTAAAAGCTTACAAGGAATCACGAATCCAGAGTCTTTACTAAAACATCAAACAAGTATAAAATCTCTCTAATTAACTCTTTACATACGTAAAAGGAAAAAAGAAACCTTTAACAGACACCAAAACGTTTCAATAAACATGAGCAAACATACTCTAAAAACAATCTCCATAAAACTAAAAGCAAACATTTAAAAACGCAAATAAAAACAAAGCTATATAGCTATATAGCTTTGTTTTTAGGATTGTTTTTCTTTTCTCTTTATTTTAATAAAAATTCTCTGTAAAACTACAATTTACTACTTACCCCAAGTTTATTAGTTATTTCTGGAAAACAAAACAAGCAAGCAAACAAACAAAAACCCAAAAGACTTTGTAAAACTTTAATGTCAAACTGATGTCCTGATTTTGTTTTGTTTACCCCAAATAACAGTTTAAAGCTAACTGCGTACTTTGAGCTAAGTTGAAGCAATTTACCTGGGCGCTTTTTCCTTCTTTTTGTCTTCCACTGGAAGGAGATTGAAGGCACTTTCTGGAGGATGGACATCTTCAGACATCCTGAATAAAGAAGCGATTAACGAAAGAGTGCTGTAGCTTCTTTTGAAGGCTAATAGCCTTAAATTGTCCAAATTTGTTTGACAACGGCTAGTTGCTAGGAAACGAGAACAGCAGATGTTGCGTTCATGAGCAGTCGGAAAGTGTCTCATTTAGGGTTACATCTTGTTATTTTTGAAAGTTGCAAATGTAAAATGTTTCACGTTATTCATTAAATTGCATAAAATATTCTTCTCTTCTTGCTTTAAGATTACTAGGGCTATATGCTATTTTCGCGTGAAGTTTGTTCGGCGTTTAGAGGGGGGATTTTCGAGGCAGACTTGAAAGCAGCAAAGAGTTCAGATTTTCTCTTTGTTTTGTGGATTTTTCTAGATGTTTGCTACAACTTCGCATTCATTGCTACAACTTCTAAGCTGTTTGGTTACAGTTTAAAACGTCGCTGAATTTATATGTAGTTAAGCATTTTTTCTTTTCTTTTTTTGCTTCCAGTGATAAATATAATTTTGTCCCTCTAGGCTCACCGTAGTTATTTATGGCGACTGTTGTGGAGACTGTTGCAGCAAAGAGTTCATTTCCTTGTGTAAACTAACAAGATCACATAATTACGTAATTTACAAAGTCATTTATTAACAGGTGGAGCTTATGGAAAGTCGTTATTTGCGTAAGTGTATTGCTCATTCAATTTCATTTACGGTCATCTGCGAGTGTCCTGAATAAGCCGAGAAGTTATCCCAGCCTTTTACGATATTTTATCAAAGCTTATAAGCTTGGTAATTACAACTGCAGCTGTCTTTAAATTCCTCGGCTAACTCTCTAAACTTCGAAAGCAGAAATCTAAGCATGCTACTGATATCTGTAATTATACCTTAACGGTCCATTTAAATGAAACAAACTGACCTACGTTAAAAAAATAAATAAATAAATACTTTTTATGCTGCTGTTGAACACTATTGAACTGTACGAATTATGAAAAAAAGTTCTTGCAATGAATTCGAGTTTTCTAGTTTGTCCCCCGCAGACTGCATATGGGGTAAAGCACATGTTTGCGTGTGAAGGTTAAAACTCACATCAGGCATCTGAAGGACAGATGCACTTTAT